GCCGCTGCCATGGGCTGCCGCTCCCCTCGGCGCCTGGCGACCAGGGTTTATACAAATACTGGTACAACCACGCAAGCAGAAAGGCTGGGGAGTCACCCACCGTACATTTGAAACAATACGTTATTGGACATAGCGCCAAACCTCTCCAATCGTTTCTTTTGAGCTAAAAACTGAACTAGAAGCAAACGCACAAGGACCTGTGGGTGCCTAACAGAGAAAAGAGCACAAATTTGATAGTCAACTGAAAAACGGTAACAAAAACATGCTTCTGCGCTTCTAAAAAGTGCTTAATCCATGGTGCGCACCCTTAGCTTGGCCCCAGAGGGGTGCAAAGGCCTAATGCCAAGTACTACAACAAAATAGAATTGATTTAGGTAAGGCAATGAAATATAGTGTAATTACACAGACCCAGATTCATTTCCTAACAAAGAAAGAACAGTTCCCATTAGTCTCTCAATAACAAAACCACCGTCGTGACTATGGCAACATTTCTTAAACCTCTGATTCAGACGACGAGTTTTTGTTCTTTATTGTAGCTTTTATATAAAAATTTTTCATTCAAGGACTTTCATCTTGATTTGTGCCAATCACTTTATAAGTTCATTAGTTTACAAATGATTGCAACAACCCGTTAATAAAATGGAACACCTAAAAAGGTTTTTAGTATTTTAAATAACTTCAAGCTTCATACTGTGGCTCTTCTTGTTAAGGAGGTTGAGCCAACAAGTAGCAGGAACAGCCCAGCAAGTTCTGATGCCCCAGTGGAAGTGACTAGTTACAAGTTCTTTTATTGGCACAGCCTTGCTCTGCTTAAAAAACAACAACAAAAAAAAAACCAAACAAAAAAGAAAACAAAAAATTAACAGAATCTAAACAAAGAACATCTTTTCCAAGAAACAGTTCATATTCTCATACAGCCATGAAAAATGTTTAATGACTTAACATACATGTGTTTTTCCTATATCATTAATTTGGAAATACTACAAATGCTGTCATTTTAGACCAGAAAAACTACTGTGATTTGCAAGACCTGACATTTCCTAAAACAGTATTAAACAATGTATTAAACTTCTTGGCTTTAAATGAAACGATACAATGCAAGTCTCTGCAGTCTGCATTTTGCAAAAGGTAAGAAATACACAAAAGTGTGTGAACAACTCACTCCTATTGAATGATCTTTAGTAACTCGATAGCCTGCTGTAGGGAGCTCACGCTTTCAAATAAAAAAAAAAAAGGGGGGGGCGGGGGAAGGGAGGGCATGGCCCAAATATGCTTAATCCAGAAGAACAAATACGGTAAAGGCCCAAACTGCTCAGTCCAGATACCTAAGAAGAGCGGAATGGTAAGGCTGTAACTTATACTTTACGTGTCAGTTGACAGATTATCCACTAATTTATCTAATAGCTAAAGTCTTCAGTACAGCTGTTATAGGGGCACTCATAGCTTGAGTCTGTGTGTTGGAAAACATAAAAAAGAGCTTGTTTTGTTGACATTGGTCCAGGTATGCAACAGTCCTCTGTATTAGCCATCTTCTTTCGGAGGAGTGTACCAGCCTATGGAGAACAGAGAACTGCGTTAGGTACAGACACTGCTACATCAAGACGATCTTACCATCTTGTTCTGAACCTATGGGAGATGGAAGCCTCATCTGACTCCTTCCTTCCCTCTTAAAGTAGGCCAGCTCAGCAAGACCCAGGGCCCTAAATGCTAGCGGTCTGCAGTGGCAGATAAAGCATGTGGCATGTTCCAGGATCAGATCCAGTATACAGGCGTGAAAATTTAAGCACCTCCAAGTTTGTTCTTTTCTTTTTTTGGTGGCAGCAGCTATCCCGAGTTGGACAAGCTTGGACATCAACAGAGGAAGCTGCTGGAAGAACACTGCTGTAACAAAACCAAACGGAACATAGGTAAAACCCCCAAGTCTTCAAGCCGCTTAACGTACAGACATCAGAACTTGACGACACCAGGATACTTGTACATAAATCCCACCTTGCGTACTGGAGTTAGGCACACAGAGGCATTTGAATGGCTTATACTACTTCTGCAAATCTTGCTGTAGGAAAAAGGTCTCAGAAGCATCAGCTGAATAACTTGCCTCCCGATAGGATTTGGCATGTTTAGCAGCTGACTCATACCTGATCAAGTGTGCGTAGTTTTTCCTAGCCACCTCCAGATCCCCAATCTTAATTCTCCCAGCCACTATTGTAAAAAATCCGCTAAGTTTTTGCACAGGGCCTATTTCTGTTGTCCCACTGAGCAGGTAGCAGCTCTAAGTTAAAGACACCTTCCACAGCAGCAATAAATGCTGTGAATGCTTTCTGTACGGCTCCTGACACAGCAGTAATCACTGTAGTCAAGGCTAGCACATAGCTAGAAGTAAACAGCCAGCCGTGCTGGCTTTTGTGGCAAACTGAAAAAGCAAAAGACTCTTTTAATGGCAAGATCAAAATATCATTAAAGCAGAAAGCATTTTAAACTCGTTATCTTTGGTCTTCCAGCAGTAGAGAAGGCATTATGTTCAGTTTTAGAGGTAGGGAAACTGAGATGCTCACTACAGTCACACTGAAATACGCTCTCATGTTCACCGCAACATGAATTCCCAGAGGACACTGTGTCCAACTTGGATCAAAGGAACACCACGGAAGTGCTAACTGGGCCTAACTCCCTCATCACAAGACCAGGGTACTGACTCTGCTGACTACTTTTACATAACATATCAGTCACTTAAACCTTTTAAAGCCTCGGGTCATTTGCTGTCTCTCCTCCTCCTGGCACAACAAATGCCATTATACCTGAAGCACTAGAATAGTTGTTAAAACAAGTACGCAGCTGAGAGACCATTAACTGGCTTTAAATAGGGTAAAAAAAAAAAATCCACGTTCCATTTCTATTGCACACTTTTCCAACCAGCGCACTTCGCCTGGACTTTGTCTATTTTTCAGTCTCTGGGCAGTCTTTCCACTTTATCTCTTCCTTCATGATTACTACTCCTAAGGTCCTGCCACACTGAAACAAAGCCTTTCAGGGAAAGGCACAAACTCCCAGCAGGTACTTCACTAACAAATAAGACACTTCAAAAGCTACAGTAACAATAGGGTTACTAGATCAACTGGCTGAAAATGAGATTGAACAACCTTTCAAAGACACATGGAACATTCACGTAAGCTGGAGAAGCTGCAGTGATTGTTAGGCAAGTTACTTTAAGCACTATCGTCTTCCCAGTGCAAGGTAAAAAGGAAACACCTTTTATAGTCTTCCCAAGCCAACATAAGACCCTCTGGCACTTCAAGTTTTACTGCAGCCAAATACCAATTCCCAGGTTGCTGTGCAGACAAGAACAAAGTCACAAGAATATACATACCATTTTTCTCATGTATTTGTACTAGTGACTTATAGGACTGCTGTGCTCTTGCTAGATTATATTGATTCTGAAAGGAGAAAAAGCTAACATAAAAAACCTGCGTGTAAACACAGTTTTACGAAGAAACACTACAGCGGGCTTACAAAGAAAAGCCATGCACAATGTTACAACATACCTGGCTTTAAAGTACAGTACAAGATTTTCAAGTCAAATACCCTTATTTCCTCATTTCTCCTCCATCATAATGACAATAATTTGCACACCCCTGCTGCTGGAAAGGGCCCTCTATTTGGAGGGTTCAACACCTGAGGTAAGTCAGAAGTGTGTGCAACCAGAACGGCGGGCTTCCAGCAATCCCCACCGCAACTCTGTCTTGCTCAATTGAAGAGTTACCCTGTTAGACAGGATTGCGATCATGCATTTTTACATCTTACCTAGTTCACTACCCTTGCCTTGGTACTTAGAAGGTGGCATCCAAGTGACAATTTCATTGACTTAAGTATTTAAACATCCTTTGAAAACAGCATTTACTACTTTAAAGTCTTAAGTTACAGTCCATTACCAACATGCACACTTGAACTGAATTACGATTTCAATTAATGCTGAATAGCTAGTTCAGAAGTATTTGCATGGTATTATTTCTCACCATCTCATGAAACCTTGCAGGTGTCTAGTCCAGTAAAAGGAGGAGAATTTCTTAATCCGCATCAGTGTATGGGATCCTGGCAGTCAGGCTGTCATATACAGCCCTTGTCAGAGCCGGAATTTCCAAATCCTACCGACTCCCAATTCTGAATCGTCCTTCCCTCCCTCCTTGCCAACGTGGGGATAGGACAAGTCCAAATACTTACACACCCTGCCCTTCCCAAGGTTTTATCCTCCTCATACATTCATTGCTTCTTAACAAACTCATAGTTAACTGCCAATAAAATACTCGTACATGCACCAGACATCAAGATAAATCAACCTGCAAATATATTTGCAATGACAATTCTGTCATTCAGCATCTTCTATGCAAGTCAGCAAAGAAATGGAAGTCTAACAGTAATCTCTGAAATTGATATTACAGTGCATTTACCTTATTGGCTCCAAACTGTACTCTGGCTTTTCCTTTCACTAAAGTGGCATTGATCTGCATGATGACTGATTCTATTGAATAGGCACTGCTCCAGCCCTGGAGGAGGGAGAAAATATTTCTATATAACATGTACTTGCTTCTTGTGCTCACTCTTGCAAATCTATTTTGGAAGGTGTGCTTTGGGATTCCCCCCTTCCCCGACACACACACACCAGTTTTAGTTCTAACTAGTCATTTTCAGTTAACAACTTTTGTTGTCCAGAGAAAATCTGGAAAGTGATATACAATATTAGCACTAAGAGCCTGTAGGAAAAATGGAAAGGCTGAAATCACATTTCCAAAATACAGCAAGACAGAAACAAGAGCAGCTCTCTTATTGTAGCATTTACACATTTTCAGTAACGTCACAATAGAAATTAAAACTTTGTGTTGTAAAAAGCAGAAAAGTCTGCTATCTAATGAAGCCATTGAGTGAGCTATGACAATTTTGCTCCCATGAAAATTACTGCTTCTCTCTGGCATTACTTTACAGAGAAGATCCATCACCCTGTCTATACAAGTCATCTATGCCTAGAACTTTCTGCGATCCACGCTTCTCCAGAGCTGGCTTCATACAGCAGCATGAAAGCTGGAAAAGAAAACAATGTGTCTTGCTCCTCAGAACTCACTCTTTACACTGGCTTCCTCACAGAAAGTCTAAGAAATCAAAACTGATACGCTCTCACTTCTTGCCTCTTCCTCAGACCTCTTGTAAGCCATCCAAGGCAGAAAAGACAATCTTACACAAGATCAGCAAGGCAAATCCTGGTGGAACTGAGGTTTATTCCACCATGTTCCTTTTGGAGCATGTAATTTATTCCACACAGGGATTCTTCAACTCAGGGGAAACACCTGTTTTCAGTATTTTAACACATGCTTTGTTATTATCCAGATAACAGAGTCTGTGCTCACCTGTTTAGTAAGAAGTTCCATGCATAATGCACCTCCACCTAGGACATACCTAGAGACAAATGTGAAAGAAAATGTATTTGACATCATCAGTTAGTCAAAAGATGAAACTGCTCACAGCACTTTAAGCTCTTGCAGGCTAGTTTAAGTTTTTTGTTCACATAAAGCTGAAATGCACTCTAACCAGTAACACATTGTAACTAGTTAGCCATATTATACTTATGCAAAGAAGATTAGCATTGTAAGACACCCTCCCCCCCAAAAAAAGCCAAAAAACCCTTCCTTTGCTAAATACATTTAGTTAAAATCAGTGACCGAGCTAGTCTGTACAACTGCTTACACAACTGTACACAGACCATGAAAAAAAGGAAAGTTGCTTTTTATGGCTACACTGTCTATATGTAGTACTGATATGTTGTTATAAAAACACACAAACAAAAATTCACTTCTGCAAAGAAATTTAACACAATTCCATACAATGTAGGTGCACCTATAAATCAAAGGTGTAGACAAATGAGAGCAGATCTTCACTTGCTCTTTTCCTAGAAACCACTTTCTAATTTCAGTTACACTTCCTCATACATTGTACCGACTGGGACTCGGGAGTCAGCACAAAACCTGGACTGAAGGACTAGAATTTACCCTTCCAAAAATGTAGTCTCCCCTATGATCAAGATGTTCAAACAATGTATGTCTGTATGACATTCACAAGCAAACGATCACTGAAATCCACACCTGGGCCATTCTTTCTTTCATTCTACAAAGAAGTCCAAGCACAACACCACCAGAATCTAAATGAGTTTTCTGGTGTCTGGCACTGCTTGTTTACTTTTTTGGTAGCAGCAATCCTCATGAATGCTATTTAACTGCACTAACCATTTCTTGAATGCAAAAAAGACACACAGCAATTAAAATCAAATCAGAATCAGCACCAGCTATTACAGACTGCATTTTCAAATGTGCATGTATAATTCCCTGTCAGCAGAGGTGCATAAAAGCCTTGGAAGGTGAATTTAATCTTCTCTCCTTTGGATATACACAAGTTTCCACTCCACAGACAGCACTTCAAACATGTTTTAGATGACTCTTGGAGCACAGCGTCAATTAAACTTAGTACCTTTGGATTAGCATTTGAGGAAAATTTTAGACAAAAACTTTATAGCAGTGTTACCAGCAAAAGAGACTCGGTTAAGATCGTACAGCAAGTTTAAGGCAACACAGGGATCAAGATCCGTTGAAAGCACTAACTCAAAACACCCTTCTATTCTGAACAACAGGAGAAGTAACAGCGATGTTAACCATCCACAGAGAGGCCAGTTCTTAAACATTATGGCAGGCACAGAGTCTTTCAAAGCTGAAAGACACAAGCTTAGCAATTCAAAGAGGAAATACATCTGGATGGAATATGCACCCAGCTGTTCGGCTCCTATTAGTTCGTGAAGCTTAAGCAGCAAGTCTCCATATCACACTTTCGAGCTCTTCAAACTCAAGGTCTACAGCAGCTCATAAATACACATTTAGGGGAAACTTCTTGAAGTCCACATAGATAGCAGTCTGAAAATGCTCCCTGCAAACTCAGTCAACCAATCTCAAGTTGTAACGTTTTCACCACAAAGTAAAGTTTCTATAAAGCAACTCAAACCTACCCTCCTGTGAGCACAGGAGATACCACTCGCACAAAAGGAGGATCAAAAGGGAAGTTATCCTGAAAAGCATAACAAAAAAACAGGTTAAGAACTATACTGTGACAGTGTTTTCCTGACCAGGATGTATTTCAATAGCCTTACTTGGCAAATTGATTTAAATTAAAAAAAAAAAAACCACCTAAAAAATCAAAAAGCAGTAACAATTTTCAGTTCTGTAAAAATCACATTTCTACAGTACTGGCTAAATATCAATCTTTGGGAAGCTTTAGTACCACGCTTAAAGTTGCACTTTTTTTTTTTTTTTTTTTAATGCTACACCTCTTATCTTTACCAAAGTTAACAGCCAGGTCATTTCAGTCACTTCCTACAGTAAGCAACAAACTTTACCCCAGCATTTCTTCCCGTAGACACATACCTTAAAAGAGAAGTTGAGTAAAATGTATTCTACACCTTCTTTTTCTTTTAAGACCTGAAGATCACTATGCAGTGGGCTATCAGGATCAACTCTATAAAAGAAGCAGGGAGGAGATCCTGAATGAAGTTTCAATTTTCACCACCTGTAAACAGTAATTACCCTTAAAGAGTTCCTTTATGTATTTGTAATTTACAAACTGTAATTTAAAGTGAACTTTAGAAAACTCCTTTTACAAAGTAAACATTTTGTCACGAGATCAGCATGAAAGCTTGCTGCAACGCACTACATTCCCAATGCTATCAAGTGTTACTTGAACATAGATAGCACAAAACCACCTGTTTATTTTAAAACAGCAATTTTAATTCTTTTTAGTTTCCTGGAAATGTATGTCCCAA